ACGTGGCTGCCGAAGGGAGACTGAGGTCTGAAGAAATGCTGTGGACGCAATTGTGGATACGTGGTGACCGCCCCTCAGCCTGGCGTACTTGCTGATCCTTGATTGCTTGCTTGCCCATCTCCCATCGCAGCTGCTTGTTCGCCATATGTAAGGCAGTTTCGCGACTAGCTCTCAGAGCGAGGAATCCGCCCGGAAGTGAGCTGCCGAAGATGTTTTGGAAGGGCGAAGGGGGGGCGGTGCCGAGGAGCATGATGAATTCGTGATCAATTAGACTGGCTTGGGTGATCTTCGCACGAAGCTCCTTCGGTAGAGCGAGGAGGCGGGACTTGTCGGAGTTGGGGTTCTCAGCAGGATGGGTAGGCAGTGTTCGCGTTGTAGAGAACTTGTGCGTCGACAGCTCATCGCCACCAGCGAGGAGGAGTTGTAGGAAGCCTTGGCCATCCCCGGTGTACTGTGATCTCTCCAACAAATTGTCGGCAGCGTGGTCGGTCAAGTACATCCTGACTTCCCTGCCGGCAATTCTGATGTTACCGGTGAAGAATTTCTTGGTGTTCTGATCGAAGAAGAACAGGCGGACGTCTTCCACTCCAAGCACACCAAGGCACGACATCGTCTTCGCATGCTCTTCGAGCAGGATGCTTGTCTCTGTCGGGTTGCCGCTAACATGTACGACAGTGGTTGGATTGGCGCTGTCAATGTACAGCGCGCCCAGCGATTGAAGCTCAGGCGTCAGCTTATCCGAGCTCATATCTGCAGACATGATGTCTATGGCAGTGAGAGCGGAGGCAGTAACTTGTATGGGTCCCGGAGCTGTATCTGAGTGAGTCTGTTGCGAGCTGGGCGTTGATGTTGTGAGTGAAGACTGCGAAAGCGTGTTGTTGTTGTGTTGTAAACGCCCGAAGTCTGAAGATGAAGAGTTTTCATGGTACGTATTATCCCTGGCGACGTTAGCGGTCTTGGCTATGCAACAGCACTCTTCACGAATGGGGAAGGCGCGGCATTTTGCAACTGAAGTGAAGCATACCCACCCTGTCAGGCACGATGGTCACTCTGCCAAAGCTAATGACAGTGATGCTAAGAAGTACGCTTACGATCGTGCCGTGCTAAGCGCAGTGAGCGACACGAGCGAGACATGAGTCCCAGGCCCGCTCAAGATTGTCAACCTTCAGGTCAGCACAATGAAGCCGTGAACACGCTCGAGCAAGAGCCATGCGCGGCAATCCCAAAATCTACGGTGAAGCGCAAAAGGCTGATTAAACCCGGAAGACCACCACCTCCCAGCAAGTAGCTTGCTGTGATCGCTGGATGGACTGAGGAGAAGTGCAGAAGAGCTGCCAATGCATGTTCAAGCAATTTCCGCTACATGAGCATTGTCAGGCCCGCAGACCGCACGCCAAAGATCCAACGCTCCTCAAGCATATGCTGAGTGAGTGGCGCTCAATAGTTTGCCTGCAGCTGATGGAGTCGGCCAGAGCGTATGAAGATCTGGTTAGGTCCGGCGCTCCAGCTCGCAGATGTTGTGCCGCGGACGAGAATCAAAGCTCGACCTGATCCAGCCAGCAGCACCAGCATGAAAGCGTGCAAGATCGCACCGAGTACAGGTAGATCTGCGCAAACCCAAGCAGTACCAAGTATCAGTGATCCAGGAACAGTGAGGAGAGAGGCTCCTTGAAAGTGTTTCTCAAGTATTCAGTAGCAAGGTTCTGTGCATGCGCTGCGGCAACGCTCTATCTGCACCCCCTATGCATCTTTCCCATATCTCTTCGTCTGGCCAGCCAACCATCGTCAACGCCATAAGCGCCTCGCTAAGCTTCAACTGTGCAAGCGCCATTCCCATGCCCATATGCCATCTTCACACTCATGTATCATCATCTCATCATGCATCTCCCGATATCAACACCACTCCACCTACCATCGAGCTCCCAAGTCTCTTACTGATAAAACCCACCCTCCGCCCAATTCCCATTCTTCGGCTTCGGCACCTCCAACCCAGCCATCACCACATTCACCTTATGCAGCCTCAACAACAACATTCTCTCCATATCCTCCGCCGTCCTCGCCGCATCACCATGTGTGCCGCTCCTTAGCTCTTTCCGCGGCGCAATGATCGTCCCGTTCACCACATCCAAGCGAGCATCCAATAACCCCGATTCAATCAGACCCAGCGCCTCTTCCTCCATGGCAGTCGGTGATGATGAGACGGGAGGGAAGGTCGAAGCCAACGAGGCGAGGCTGACTTCGGAGAAGGAGGAGAGGTAGGCGGTGATGCTCTTCTCGCGGATCTTGGCGAAGAGGACGTCGACGTGGCTCGAGTTGCCGACGGAGGAGGATGCTGCGCCGAGGAAGACATCCAGACTCCAGTCGCTGTAGTAGTGGCGCAGCAAGTCGATGCAGCTCTTGTACTTGGCCGTGGTGTAGAGGGAGATGGCTTTGCGCATGTGCGGTTCCAGCTCCAGGAAAGCGCGGAAGGAGCCACCGAGCACGCGATCGATGAGGTCTTGTCGGGACATAGTGGCGAGTGCGCAAAGGCCGCCGTAGATGGCAATGTCGTTTGCTGAGGCCACAGCGCGGCCAAAGTCTGTGCCGTGAACGGCGCCGAGGGTGTTGTAGGCGATGGGCGTGGAGAGGAAAGTGGTGGCTGCGTCGCGGTAGTTGGCTTGACCAATTAAGGAGATGCCGGACATGGCTGCAGCGATGGGCTCGAGCTTGACCTGCTCCTCGGCTTTGACGCCGCTGGAGCGCAAGCGGGAGCAGTTCGAGAGCGTGTTGGCAAAGTTGCCGCCGCTGGAGCCGCCGGCTTGCATGGAGGAGACGGCTTGCAGTAGGGCGGTGTAGATGAGGCGGAGCATCATGCTGGCCATGTGAGAGGGCGTCGTGCAGTAGTCGCGTGTCTTGCTGAAGGCCTGGTATGCGGCACTGTACCCGGAACCGCCGAGTTGCTGGACGGTGTTGGGATCTGGTGGCGGGCCTCCGGTGATGAGGTGGTGGGTGGCGAGGTCTTCCTGGCCCATGCGGATGCTCTCGCGAATCAGATTGTTCTTGTATCCGCGCAGCTCGCCCTCCAGCCTGCTCAGCTCGCGCTTGTTACCTTCTTCCTGCCGTGACACCCAGTCGTTGTCGGGTATACCGAGATCCTTGAAATGAAGCTGTCCGGCGAGGTCGCAGAGATGGGTGTACTGGCGCACGTTCTTGCTCTTCTTTGCGTGTGAGATGGCGAGACCAATGGCTTGCCGGGAGAGCGATGGGCAGTGGATGGCGACGTGGGAGAGGCGGAGCGGGAGGAGGGCGCCTGCAATACTATATCAGTGCCGTGAGGAAGTGAGCACGAGTATCTGCCGCTCACCATCGTAGTTGTTGGCCCATGTATCGAGGTCGAATGTCGGCGGTGGGAGGTTGAAGTTGTCTGCTGGGCTGGAGCTGTCCTGCCGCAATCGCTTGGCTGGCGAGCGCGCTGAGTTCTTCGACGCCATGGTGGAGATGGAGGTGGATGAACGTGGTCGTTTGTGAGATGTTTCGAACTCCCTGGACTTCTGTTTGAAGCTGTTCGGTGCCTGATGACACCTCGGCGAAAGAAGGGCCGAGCCGCGCAGGGCTGAAGAAGTACATCTTACAGGGGCGACGTGAAGAGCACCATCAACATCCTTATGCTCTCGAGCCAGCGTCGATATTGGCGGCACCGTTAACGCTCGCTGCGCTGCTGGTTGCTTTGAGCTGTGGTCAGCACCATTGCCACGCAATCCCCGAACCAGCCTCTTCCTCGATTCGACACCGGACATGGTCATCGCGTGCAGATCTTGGAGTCTTCCTAGGCGGGTAGTGTAAGAGCTGTGAAGGAGTCTTTCAGCGGCTCAGAGAAGTAATAGCTGTGTGTGGGTTCTTGGTTCCGGCATTGGAAGCGTACGGTGGCGTATCATTGTCTCTTCGGCTCAACATCCGCGCCCGTTTGGCCAGTTTGAAGGAGCTCTGCAGACATTATAATGGAGATGGACAACAAAGCGCCAGACGACGTGTTAGCCGTACTCTGTGCAGACCCTCCGCAATCAGCGGTCACGCAGGATGTATTAGACGTCTACGGTACCAGCAGTGAAGCGCTTCCGCTCCCGGACTTCCTCCGCCTGCCGGCTGAGGTGCGAAACGATATCTACCTGCTCTGCCTTCCACAAGACCGACGGGTCTCCAGCGATCTGCGTCACATAGACAAGGCCGATCGCTGGGCCAAGCGCTACCCCGATGGGTCCATGTCAAAGTTCGGCAGTCATCCCGGATCGGTCCCAGCCCTGCTGCAGACATGCCGGACGATGCGTCACGATGCACTGCAACCGTACTACAGCAACAATGACTTCGTGCTGGATGTGGACGACCACCCGGACCGCGATCCGAGTCCATACAACACCGCGGTATCATGGCTGACGGCAATGGATGCTCTCGCTTTAGCACGCATCGTTCATCGCCAGTGGAAAGGCCTCATACCCATGGTATTGAAGCATGTCTCTCGTGAACTAGATCGGTGATTTCCATTCTCCGAATGATGCGTGGAAGCTGCGGTATGGATCACGCTCAAGAACCTGGGGATAGGCAGTCGACCGCATCCTGCATACCGTGGCTTCCATAGATGTGGTCTGGTCGCTTCGAAGGAACCTCTACAACGACATGGCGCCGCACGGCATCCTCCACTGCTCGATGGCCATTATAGGCAGCAGTCTTGGGTCGCAGCAGTATCGAGTAGATATCCAACCCCTTTTACTCTAGCAGCATCATTCCACGCGTAGGCTTGCGATTTTCAGTCCCAAGATGTACAAGACACCCCAAAGCTGGTGCTAGGAGGCTTTCTGTGGCGCCGCAAGATCAGTCTCGGGTTTAGGAAATGCGATTGGACGCCAGAGAGCCAACGTGTGGGTTTGCCGTTGAAGTGACTCCTTCCTGGTGAGTCACCATGGCACGACTGCGGTTCCGCGCGCCAGCCGATATCAACTCCACGCTCCATACAAGTGTCATCAACAGGTCCTGGAGTGTAGTGGATAAATCACGCCGGTCCTATGAGAAGTGTACAGCGAATTGATTGTTGCACGCTCCGATGACAGCTGGCAACCCGAGTTCGATTCTCGGCAGGACTAGTCCTTTTGCGGTGTGTGGTACTGACTTGCAAGACTCTTTGGCAGGAGCTGATCGGTCGCAGACTAATACCACAAGTGTAGCGGATGTCCTGCGAGGGCAAAAAGTGTCTGGAGACGTCTAGATGGTCACAGATCTTTTTGTGCGAACCAAGTAGCAGGTCGTTCTCTGCCCAGCGATGCTCAAATGGACCTCAGCGCATGAAAAGTCGTCAATATCTCCGCTGGTCCATTGTGCTGCGCAATGGTCTCCACGGTATAGTGTCATATGCGGTTCTCTACAGCGCCCTCTCCTGGTTCTTGGACGCCTTGCAGCCCTGCTCGTGGTATGCGACAGAACTACCTGGATGCTAGGTCAACAGAGTCTTGACTCGGCGTGCTCTCACGGCAATCACGCGATTGGGGTTGCACGCCAGTCCCAACTTTGTAAGGAAAGGGACATGTGCGATACTCTTGCTAGGATCGCTTGGGAGCAAGAGGGAGCGCTATTATCCAGATCCACCCACTGGTTCCTGCTATGAGCAGGAATGCAAGCAGAAATACTCGTTAGCAGCCATTATCCCTTCGGAGTCCTTCGGAGAGCACACGAACCTTTCGACAAGATTGGAGGGCTAGTGAAGACTGTGATGAAAAGGAGGAGAAGCTCATGAGTTCTATCATGCTCGCTCAGCAAGTATACGCATCACTGCGACCGAGGGAACATCTTAGTATCGTTTCCGAATGGCTATTGTCTGGGTCTTTTCGTAGCGTCTCGAGCCTGTCATGCGAGTCAGTCGCCACGATTCGTGCCACGAACTAGTAGTCTGCGTACTGGTTCCAGCCCAATGCCCTCAGATCCCGAATATGCTGCCCGCGGGGAGAGGAATCGTTACGTGTAGCCGCTCGAACAGCATCAGAGCTCTCATTGGGAGAGCCTTTACCACTGCACTGATAATTTCTCTCATAACCTGCAGTCAACCGCCAAAGGCTGGTATACGCTGCTCTATGCATCTGTTCAATCTCAGGATAGTGATCATATTGTTAAGCAGCTTGAGCCAAATGGTCTGTCGGCCTAGTAGCCCGCGCCGAAGACGCTGTAGGAGCATCCAGACTGCTAATCTCGCTTGACGATCTTCAGACCGCACCACATCGCAAGACAGCAGTAAGGCGATCCGTGTGGATGGCCTACTGGGTCGCTCGAACTCGTCTTTGGCAAGCAGCTCCCCCCGTACTTCGTGGTTTCATACGGGAGAATGAGAGTGTAGTGATCCTCTCAAGATGCTCACTATCACATTGGGCATAGACCTTCATAGATCATGATCACGTATGGAAAGAGTGTTACCAATGTTGTTCTTGGCACCTTCCTGCGAGCGAAAGAACGATCGAGTTTTCGAACTCAAATAAGTTGGCTTTCTTCCGTGCACGAGCCTGCAACTGCATTCACTTTCTTCCTTGTATAATTTCGAGTGATGCTTCGGCACAGACAACCTCACCCACACATACTCACTGCATCGCCATCGCGTCGTTCGTATATGGACCAAGCTTCCGAGGCTCATCGATATATCAGCTTGTACTAAAACACGCTGGCGCATCGTTGAGACGAGGATGGCACACCGACGTCCACACTGGAGGTCCAACATCACGTCGCCAACTTCTAAGCTCGACCGCCGGCCCGATCTCGAGAACGGCCCCTCGACAGAACATCTCTCGATACTCGCATGGCTATCACGGCAACGTGCTACCCCATCGCCGACCTGCCATCAACATGGTGACTATGGGCTTCCTGGCTTCTTACGACTGCCGGCAAAACTACGAAACATTGTCTACGATCTCGTACTGCCAACAGACTCGCATCTCCTTGCTCTCGGGCGTAGCTCCCGGAGGCAGGCAAATCTGGAGTGCAACTGTAAAGAATGGATTCACGGCGCCTATGGCTGTGCTACCAGGGTTCCAAGGCTGTTGCAGGTATGCCGGCAGATAAGAGTCGAGACGTTACCGATATTCTTCGGCAGCAACATCTTCATGCTTGGCGTTGGCGACGACGATGACATCTACAAAGAGACCGAAGCATGGCTGCGGGGCCAAGATCCGTCCGGGTTGCGCCAGATCAGATTCGCAAGCTTTTACGCGAATGCAATGCGTGGAAGACGTAACCACTTGACAGTGCACGCCGATCTGTCTCTCGGGAACTTGGTCCGGGAAGCTGAGATGTTACACGATCGGTTGGGTCGCCCGACGAAAGTAGAGCTCCATTCTTCACGGATCGAGACGGTGCTTGACGCGCTCGCACGGTCCAAGGGTAACAAAGAGCTACACGATGCACATTATCAGGTGGAGTTCATCGAAGCGATCAACACGTCGCACAACGAGGTCGTCGAGGCGACCAAACACTTGCTGGGTACCCGTTCTGGACACAACCGGACGTGGTTACGCACTCGAGAGCTAGGCTTTGCCGACATTGTCTTGGACTTCTCTATCGTTGCGGTCGTGGTCAGTGCATGCCTGGTCAAAGCATGCTTCTGGCAAAAGGTATAGGCTGGTCGAATTAGGAGACAAGGAAGGCGTGAGGTGGAGAACCCGACGTCTGGTCAGTACTTGAAGCTGCACTGGGTATGGCAGAGATGCAGAGAAGTACAGCAAAGATTACTGCGAGTCTATTCGTTGCGATAGTTGGGTACCGGATGAACGCAAGTGGCGTTTAGAGGTTTTACGATTACACAAAGCTCATTTTCCTCCTGACTGTAGTGCTGACGATGGTACTGGATTCATTGATACAATATGATCTCCTCGCAAGCCCAAGAAGGATCGTCGAACCCTTGCTTGGCTCGCCGTCTTCCTCACTGCCTCCGGTACGTCGTCGTCAAATTATAGCTGTAGACGAAGAGTAGGAAGCTAAGAACCACTGTCGATCATCCTGTAAGCCGCCTGTATACAAGTGGGAAACGTTCTCCATGGTGCCCAGAGCGGCGAACACAACGAACACAACTATTTGTTCGAATGCACGACGACAACGTCTTATACAGCCGACGAAGCATAGAAGTAACGTCGGCCGCCGCTCATTGGAAGTCTGCGACTTGAAGCATAGATCGACAGTGCTTCTTACCAGAGCCTGGGTTGCCTATCTGAAGTCAAATATGTTGACCATGAACTGAGCATGGCGGCTCTCTCTGTACTACTGTCTCCTTAAGCGCAAGCCGAACGATGGAGCAGTATTCCCGTCCTCCAAACCACGTTAGTGCGGGTCGAAGCGTCAATGATCACCTGTGTGTATCAAGTCTGGACTTGGGTCAAATCCCGTTCCGTTGCCATGGAGAGATCTGCCCACAATCGTTTCCGACCTCAGCGCTTGTACCCGAATCCAGCTGCTTAGCAATGGACCAAGGCCTTGCTCGAGTTTCAATGCCTTGCTCGAGTTCGGATGATTGAGCTTGCTCGAAACAGGGGTTTGTGCAGTGTCGATTGCGAAGTGGAAAAGCTCTGTTTGTGCTCAGCTCGTGGACCTTCTTTGCTGGCGCATCCTCCTAGATTGCGCTCATGTTTTTCCAGAAAGATAGCAGCATTGATGCTCATAGGACTGAAATCGTTTTCAAGATTCACAAGTTCCGGATTCGCGCCGGGCTTGGCCAAAAGCCATGCAAGGAATTATCCTTACAGAACGCTATGTCCTCGTACTGTGACCTGCTACGTGCTCGGGCCAAAGTGTTTGAGGCCGAAGTGTTTGAGATGCAGTGTTGCTGTTTGACTGAGAACCCTCATCTGCCAGTTCTTCTTTCGTCCAGTACCGTGTAACTGCGCATACGTGCAAACGCATTTCTCTTGAGAATTGAGCAGACGTGGAATTCAACAACATTCTAATCGTTCTCTCAATGCTCTCGACCCAAGCTATTCCATGTGTCGCAACAGCATTGAATATGTAGCCGTAGATGAGAGTGCCTTGTCTCGCAGATGGAAGTGGCGACTGCCACAAAACTGCCTGATGCTGCACGCTCCGATTCAAGGCTACAAAGAAGGATCTCCGATATCTTCTAGTATCTTTCCATAGCCGCGAGGGACAAGATGTATTGGTGATGATGCGGTCGCTCTAGATCCTGTGAGGCCCCAGTCTTGAGTATGGCTTATATAGCTTCGACACAATGTTGACCTACGGCGTGGGAGCGGCGTGCCCGAGTGAAAGTTATACAATGGTGTATACCTGAGAATGAAGCTCCCTGTCCGGGCGTCCACATCCGCGTCACGTTTCACGAGATGCCTGCAAAGGTCGCGAGCTTCGTTGTCCTCGACCTGGTACAACTCACCCGGTGGACAGCCCTGAAATACTGTACAGTTGTGCAGCTAAAATAAGATCTGCATCGTCATCCAGCAGTTGCATAGCGATTGCAAGTAATGCCACGGTAGGTCAGTATGTTCACCGGCACAAGCTTCCCAGAGATTGGTAGATGGGCAAGCTTTGACATGTAGTGCCGTATCCCCGCGCTTCCTGAATCTCTGCCCTCCCAGCCTCGAGGACGCTGTTGATATCAATAGTTTCAAACTGGATCGGACCTGTGAGTCCCGCGTCGATGTTTTTGTTACACTAGTCAAGCGAGGCAGCTGTCACCACTTGCCCGGAGATGATATGCGCATATGTACTGGGAACTATCTTTGAATACTACGATCGAAGTCGGCACAACGTCTGGCGTTGCTCTTCGGACGACAGGGCATGTTTGTGTTCTTCATATGCGGCGAGTCACCCACGCTCAGTTGCTGCTGTCAAGTAAGATCGACTAAGATTCGAAATGTTCGCGGTGCGCATACTGGGCATGGGTGGCGACGCATTGATGGCCGTCTTGCAAGCACTCGAGGGCACTCTCCAATGTTGTCTGCGTCGTAGGAGCGAAAGGCAGCTACGGCGAAAGAGAACGCCGCAGCAGGACGATGATCGCGGTTACTGTTAGCTTTATTCTGGTACGTGACTCGAGTATAGGCCGCTATCATCCTACGGAGTGCGTAGTGTCATCTGATACCATGTGGGCATGTTAATATCT